ATTCCAATATCAATTAACCTATTTATTACACCAAGGTGGTAAAATAAAAAGTATTTTTGAGGAGAGGAATTTGGTTTTTCTCATTTTGAGCCCCAGTCATAACACATTTGGCTCTGGAGCCACAGATGTTTCTTTTTTGGAAAATGAATAGCTGAGAAAAACACAACTCTGATTTCAGCTGCAAATACTTAGAAATTTAAATAAAGCCAAAGAGACCTAGCAGGTAGAAACACTCAATATTTTTAATTGCTCCAGTGAAAACTCAATTACTAAGTTAAAGCCAAACTCTGAAGGTGCCACAATTGCTACAATTAAATGTATTCCATGACGTAATGTAATGGATGAGATAGTGCAGAGCTGTCACCTCAAAGGACCCTCCAGAGAGAAATGAGAAACAGCAAATATTTTGTAATAGCACTGATGGAATCTTACTGGATTTAAACAGACTTCAGATGTACTTGTTCTCCAAGTGATAAAGGGCCATACTGACACATTATGGCAGTAAACAAGAATGAAGAAGGAATGGGGAGAAAAGAAGATAAATAGTACCACCATCCCCCACCTAAAAAAAAAAAATGGAAAAACCTATGATAGCAAAAACATTATGGCAGTAAACAAGAATGCAAGAATGAAGAAGGAACGGGGAGGAAAGAAGATAAATAGTACCACCACCCCCCACCCAAAAAAAAAAAAAAAGGAAAAACCTATGATAGCAAAATCATTCTATGTAAGATGTGAGTAAAAGTTTGACATCCGAGCAGAAATTATTGGTGATGTCACTGGTTTGTAGCATTTTTTGACTGGACTATATCAATATAGAGAAGTTTTATGGGAGAATAATTATCAAACAAATTAGAATCAAACAAATTTCAGCTCATTGTGCATTTCAGACCCCTCAGGGCCTGACTAAGGGATAGGCTAAGCTTACTTTTTTCTATTGGCCTTTCATTGACAGCAGTAGAACTACTCAATTTGCTGTCACATAGAATTTGGATTAGTGCACATCCAGAGCTATACTGATTGAGTCTATCTGTTATCCAACCCATTATTTCCACGCCTGTTTACAAACTGTTTTATTTTTTGCAGACTTGTCTACAAAAAGGTGAAGCTGAACCAGCTACTGGAATGTATATACACTGGGCCAGCCAAAAGAAATATATTCCCACAGTTGAGGTAATTCAGATCAATCCTGAATTCTCACTTCATGGCTGTTTAGTTCTGGGTTTGTAAGTGCATTTCATGACATTGAAAATGTAGAAATTTTGGAGAAAAAATAGTTAATGCATCTCTCTGCCTATATGTGCTAGAGGTATGGACCCTTTAAAAACACACATTATTGTATTTTTCAGTGTGGGAAATAAAACCTTAGCAGGACAATGCTCTGGCTGAATCCTAAATGTTACTGTTTTCAATACTCAAACAAACAAGTATAAACTGAGACTCTGCAGGAAACAGTTTGCAAAACAAGCCAGCCTATGCATCTGAGAATAAACCTGCAGTTAAAACAAAAATAAAAGGCCACAAAGAAACCATCTCTCTCTGCTGATATCACCACAAATCAAACTTCATTCTTAGTAGATCCATTGAGATACCTCTGACCAGGACCCTCCAAATTAGATCTGCGCATGTCCAACACACTCTTTGCCTGGCTACTTAATGGAGGCTGCACTGGTGTGATTAACAGAACTCACGTGGGGAACAAGTGGCTTTGGGCTGCTCACATCAAAGAGCAGCCAGTGGTGCCCTGAGACAGGAGCCACTGGTGTATCTCTGGAATGTAGGCACTCTCCTCTTCCTTCCTGGTCTCTCAACATGCTTGCATTTGAAACCAGTCTGGGCAGAACTTTACAGCTTCTTTTTGGCAGCATGTAAAAGAGCTTGTTGTCAAGCCTTTAGCTTCAAATTGGTCAGCACAATTTTCTGAAAATTTTGACAGTGTTCAGTCTTTATTCTGTGCCAAGTATGAGCTGACTGCAGAGGACTACATTGCACGTAGAGCAAATGCACTTCAGCTGTCATGTTCCAAGTGGAACTTCAAATGTTTACAGATGAGACAAGTCTTCCACAGTTCAGTGTATGAATACCATAAATTTAGTCCTCGCCCACCACAGTGAAGGAAATAAATTGGCAGCTCTGGAGCAAGTTGAGTGCCCATGACACGCTGCAGCCATTCATTAAGCAAAGATTTTAAAAGTAATGTGCAAAATATTGAAGAACATTAGCAAAAACCTACAAAAACAAAAGGGTATGACTACTGATGGTAATGCACAGCTTTGACACATGTAAAACAGGCTCAGGTTGTATTCTGCTAGATTGCGTGAAGAAACTGTACTTCATCAAGTACTAGCATTGGGTATATTAAGTCTGGAATGAAGAACTCATAATAATTTTATATATATGCAATTCAAATACGAAATAAAGTTACAAACATTGAATTAACATACTATGCTGGTTTGGCTGGGATAGAGTTAATATTCTTCATAGTAGCTATTACAGGGCTGTTTTCAATTTGTGCTCAAAACAGTGCTAAGATCAGGCTGTTTTCATTATTGCTGAGCCGTGCTTACACACCATCAAGGCCTCTTCTCCTTCTCACCCCACCCCTGCAAGGACTGGGGATGTATAAGGATTGGGGAGAGGACCCATCCAAGACAGCTGACCCCAACTGGGGGTCAGCACATAAAGCTGGAGGGAGAAGGAAAGGGGGAATATTTGAAGCAGTGGCATTTGTCTTCCATAGTAACTTAAGTGGGATGGAGCCCTGCTTTCCTGAAGGTATCTGTGTATTTGCCTGCCAATGGACAATGGTGAATGAAGTCCTTGTTTTGCTATGCTTGTGTGCATGGCTTTTACCTTACCTATTGAACTGTCTTTGTTTCAACCTGTAAGTTTTCCAACTTCAATGCTTCAGATTCTCTTCCTCATCCCACTGGGTGTTGGCGGGGAGTGAGTGAGCAGCTGTGTGGGGCTGAGTTGCCAGTAGGGGTTAATCCATGATACATACTGAATGCAGAAACACTTTTTAAAAAACAAGATCTTTAAGTGAAAGAATTGTCTTCTTTCTGACCTCCACCATTATTCAACAGCATAGAGGCAATGAAATACAGCAAATATGCTCTAACTGACATGAAGGTAGATTTAAAACAGCACAGGAGGAATATCTGCAGCAGATCCACAATCTTGGCCCCAGTGTTGTTAGTCTTAGCAGGAGCTTGGTCCTTGTGGACAAAAGATGTTCATGACCAGTTATATGTTGTCTCGTTGATGCTGGTATATTGCCCTGTTTATACCAACTCCTGTCTACTGCCAGACCTGACCTTTGGCTGCTGGCAGATTTCTCCCAGACCTGTTTCCCCATCTGAGCTGGCACTGGAGCCCTCTCAGAGACAAAAGATGTTCATGACCAGTTACATCTTGTCTTGTTGATGCTGGTGTTGCTCTGTTTATACCAACTCCTGTCTACTGCCAAACTTCACCTTTGGCTGCTGCCAGATTTCTCCCAGACCTGTTTCCCCATCTGAGCTGGCACTGGAGCCCTCTCAGGCTGGCACAGCCGCTGTGGCTCTGCCCAGCCTCTCGCAGGAGGCAGGCAGTGAGGGGAGCGCTCCGTGTGCCTGTGCCACGGCACCGCAGCTCTCCGTGCGCCTGGGCCACGGCACCGCGGCTCTCCGTGTGCCTGTGCCACGGCACCGCAGCTCTCCGTGTGGCTGGGCCACGGCACCGCAGCTCTCCGTGTGCCTGGGCCACGGCACCGCAGCTCTCCGTGTGCCTGTGCCACGGCACCGCAGCTCTGCCCCGCAGGCCAAGGGGCTGGAGAGGGAAGGGGAGCTGCCACCACCCTCCCCATGCGGCTTCTCAGGCGGAAACTCGCAGCAATGATGGAACAGCACAACCCAGTGGCTTTTTAAGTGACAGTTTTTACGGTATTCTTCTAATTGAGTCAGTAATTTTTCACAGTAGCCACCGAGTCAACAGTATCCAATTGCTCATTCAGTTTTTGCTTACGCTTGTGCTCCTACTCCACTTTATAGATGATTCTAAAAGACGGGAAAAATTAAACATGCTCACTTCAAAGCCTCTTTCTTGATCCTCTCTATTACTCAAATTTATTTTTGCACTTCTAATTGAATCAGTAATTTTTCACAGTAGCCACAGAGTCACAACAGTATCCAATTGCTCATTCAGTTTTTGCTTACGCTTGTGCTCCTACTCCACTTTATAGATGATTCTAAAAGACGGGAAAAATTAAACATGCTCACTTCAAAGCCTCTTTCTTGATCCTCTCTATTAGTCAAATTTATTTTTGCAGTTATGTATAGACCTGGCTGATGTTACAGTTCCAGATACAAGAACTAAAAATGCATCATGTTACAGTGGCAAATTACTGTACTGCAATTTCAAAAGGCCCTAAAGATCCATTTAAAAAAAAAAAAACAACAAACCAGTAATATGTTAAAAATGCATCATGTTACAGTGGCAGATTACTGTACTGCAATTTCAAAAGGCTGCAAAGATCCACTTAAAAAAAAAAAACAAACCAGTAATATGGGCAAAGATAGAAAACAATAGCTGTTCAGAATTAGAATAGCGACTCAAAGCAAATGTGAAAAGAATTGCTGATGAAGATACAACTGCCTTTTTCTTAAATAATTCAACCTCTTATGAATTGCTGAGTAAATACTTGCATCCCACATCAGAGACTTCAAACAACTAATTCTCAAGAAAAGAAGTACAAAAGGAATTTCACCAACAGTTTTAGTAGTCTTAAGGTTGTCCTGCTTACTCTGGGAAAATCAGAAAAGCTAAGCTCAGCAGTATGCCATATCCCATTTTCCACACTTTTTTCTACACCTTTCTGCACTTCTGGTCAACATACTTGTTAACTGTGCTTCTTTTTTGAAAATCTTTGCAAGATTCCATAACTGTATAAAGTTACGGATTATTAAAAACGGAAACAGCTGATACCATGTTACAGTCCACCAAGAGAGAGAACCACCTTAGAACCATGAGTCCAAAACATTTTTTATTAAAATACCACCAACTTTAAGAAACCAATGCAGTGCAAAGAAAAATTAATGATTTTTCATCCTTATGAAGTATGTAAAATGCATTCCAATCCTGACATGACTGATGTAATACAGAAACTGTATCCCAGATGAATGTCAAAGTTAAAGACTGGCATGCTGAGCAAGGAAGGTTCTTATTCTTTGCAAGAGCTCCTTCTTTACACTGTCTGGTACCAAAGCTGAAACACAAATAAGAAAGCAAGAAGTAAAAAAAGACAAAATAAAAAGTATGCTAAAACCATACTTTTACAATAGCCATTTCTAGTCATTCATTGTTCTTGCAATTCTGTTAATAGCTAAAGTAACTGAAACAACTTGATTTTCATATAGCACATCTATATTTTTCCCATTTAAAATAGTCTAAAATTAGGATCTATTGAGAACAATGTTACTGGTCAAGGGTTTTTTTGCCTATTCATAGTCCAGAAAACTGGAAAGTTTGAGGAAAAGGACTATTTCACAGGAAACAGGATATAATCACCAGAACAAGTGTGATTATCCCACCTTTTTTCTTCACAAATTTAAGACCAAAAAAAAATATACAATCTGGTCTCTAGCAAAGGAGTCAAGCAAGCGATTTTGAAGGCCTATTTTTATTTAGAACTTAATGAAGTTTCCACCACTAACCTCAAACCCTGCTAAAGAGCCTGTGAGGAACAATACAAAGAGGACTGAAGTTTCCTCAAGTGACTGAATTTTTTTTGTATCTGTATGCTATGTCTTTACTCTTCCCATTCCCATTACACTAGAACTGTTAGTTCTGATTTTTCCATTTTAAAAGATTTGGAATTTTAAAACATCTGTGTTGCATACACAACTTGGGATCATTAAGTCAATTATAAAAAGGAATATAGACATGACTAAATAATCTGCAAAAGTAATCTGAAGGCTGCTACACAATACAAATTCATGTTTCATTGGTTGTTAATATTAAGCTATTAACATTTTATTTTTAGTTAATATCAAGTTATTAACATTTTTCCTTGAATCCAACACAGACAAGCTCATGATGCTGCTTTCAAAATACTAATGGAATAGAGGTAGGTATGTTTATTGATCTACTACTCCATCCAAATTTGCATTCTCTTACCTCTGCCTTTGGGAGTGATTTCTGCCACCAAATCATCAACAGTAACATGCTCTAATCCTTTTTCTTTAATGACATCTGGGGAAGACCAAGACCAATACTTTAAGTCTTTTAGTCCATTCATAAAATGACAAAACCTGTGCTGGTGATTAGAGACAAAACCTGCCTAACATGGTCATGGGAGAACACAAAGTAGCATGGGACCTAAATATAGGTTATTAGCTCTGTATCCACTGCACTGTACAGTGGATTTTAATCTCTCATTCATGCCATAGATTTAAGGATGGGAACCTGTCACTGCTGATGCATCTTAATCAGCTCATATTTTAAAAACAAACTGAAATTGTTTTATTTCATCTGAGCATTACCAGATGTGCCTGTTACTAGTGTTGGAGCAGTTCACAAGTTGGCTCACTTATCTCTTCAAACACATTATTTACACAGTAGTAAGAAAGGTGCAACTGGAAAAACACTTTGGAACATACAGTAAGGAAGAGTACAGACAGTAAATCCTTACTATTCTTCCAACTGGTTTAAACAAGATTTCTGTATATATTTCAGCTAAGTCAAAAAGTATGTCAAAGAAAAAGGAATAAATCTATAGCAGAATAAAAGCTATTATTAATACACATCAGTATATTTCATCACAATGAAACAACTGCTTACTTATAGTGCCTTGCACACTACTGAAAAATGCAGAAATCACAGCTGAGAAGTAATCTCAATTCAGTAGCATGTTTAAACATAAATGTCAAGTTGCCAGGGATACATTCTTCTTGCCCAGGTCTTGTTTAAACTGTCAGTAAAGCCTTCATCTGGGACTTTTATTGGGCCAGAATCTCAGCTGACTACAAAGGAAATTAATTAATTGACCACTGTTACCTTTGCAATGTGCCTTCAACTGATCCTTCCAGCCACATTCAATTAATTTGGCTCTCAGCAACTCTTTAAGGCTGTTAATATAATATAAAACTTGTTAGAACAGCAAACAGTGCTGACTGCTTAAATATGGTCCAGCGTGAAAGTCAGGCCTACAATTACTACCCAGGAGCTCCTAGAGCAGCAGCAGAAATGGCTGAACAGCAGGTGAATCCAAACCCAAATGAGTTCCAATTTCAGGTTACCATGTTGGACTATGAGGATTTGGTGCCTCCAGAGCTAACTCACGGAACTGCTTCAGGCAGTGTTGATGCTGCAGCCATGCAGAAAAAGGAAGAAGCCCTTGAATTACTTGACCTGACAGAGTCTACTCTGGTAGCAGATGTATGCAGACTTTCAAAGTTGGAGTATTTCACCTGATACCAGGTCTTTAAAGTAAGTAAAACCTTCTCCCTCACCTTTCAGGAAGAATTCTGCACTACTCAACTGCAGGTTTACCTCCCCATTTACACATTTATCTCATTCTGGGTGAAAATGAAGGATCCTGTATCTTAAGCCTCCTATCTTAAGCTTCCACGGTTAGTTATGTAAGCTTAAGCAACAAGGATTCAGGCATTACTGGAAAAGACACAACAATCTGCCACAATGGAACATCTACTCCATATATCAAAATAGAATATTGAAAGTTAGCTAAAAAGTGAAAGTTAGTACTAAAAAAACAGAAGAAGGGAAAATGAAAGTAAGATAAGATAAATAACTTTAATATCTTTTAACCTTTTCTCCATTAGCTAGGAAGCCTGCTTATCTTGTACTATCCTAAGTAACTCTAGGAAAACCCTGTTTTTATGAATGAGAGGACTGTAGCAAGAGGCTGAACAGTGTAGGTCTAATCCCTTTTACTCAGTGAATTGTGTAGAGGGCAGATGAACTGATGACAAAAAGCAGAGTAAGAATACAGGTGAAATTGGCTGCCTCTGGATATTTCTTAGCTCAAGAAACCTAAGTGCTCTGCCTCTGATCACAGTACAGCTGTGATAAGGCCTGTTTATAAGACAGCTTTTGACATCCTGATAAAATCCTTCCTATTCTTAAATTAGCATAAAACAGATCTCAATACCATTTCAATAAATTGCTTGCTTTTATTGAAATGGTGCTCAAGCTCTATACAGTCTTCAAGGGTCACAACCAGGAAAGATGCAGAGCAGAGATACCAGGTCAAACCACAAAAGGTTACACCAGGCTACGCCATGACCTAGGAAAAAATTTCTTCTCATACAGGCCTTTAAAAACGAAGGAAACAGAACTTTTGGTGCATGGTGTTGCAAGCATAGTGAAACAATGAGGGAAATATCATAAGCACTCTAGTGAAATGTAAATACAACATCAATTAAACAGACTGAAGAAACAACAACAGGCCAAAAAAATGGTGCAATTTACTTGTTTGCCTTGACTGGGATCTCTACAATGACTTGCACAAGCGCTCCTTTATGTATTCAACAATACATAACAATATATTGCTTCACCTAACAAGAGAAGAGCTAGAAACACAAGAAAAACTTAGAAGCAAAAAGGAAACTTTTGTTTCCTTCTCCTTATCAGGAAATAACAAGATTTAGCTGCAGCAAATTGAATGGACGGGTGATTCTCACATGACTCTAGGGTATTCCAACACAAAATACCTGCATAAGAGAAACCTTCAGAGTTCTTAAGCCAATTACCCATCCTTTATTTCCCCACTATCTCTTTTCAATTGGAAAACTAAAATAAAACTGTTCAAAATGCATTTTTAAATAGTTTATATAACACGCAAGACTTTCTAGTCCAAGACTCAACTTTTGAGTCTTTTGAGTCCAAGACTCAATTTTTAGCATTGAGTTTACTTTATGGAGTTTATTGTACTTCTAGGCGTAGTGCAGTCTTGATGTATTTAAAGCCTCCCACCGGCATAGGGTAGAAATTCAACTTACCGTTCTCGCTCTCCTGTTTCTATTAGCTTTTGGTTAATGGTTGCTCTCATCTGCGCATCTTTATTCATTTTGGAAATCTAGGTTTTCTACAAACCTACAGAAAGCAGAACAGAGTTTCGACAAATGCTGGTGTCATTCAACAAAAAAAAAAAAAGTGACCAAAACAGAATGAGATGCAGTGTTCCGTGCCCTGACACATCCCCGCGGTTAATGACCGCAGCACCAGTGTGTGACCGGCTCAGGGCCGAGCTCGGCACCCACCCGGCTGTCCGAGCGCCGGGCACCGGCGCTGCGCCGGGCACCGGGCACGGCCCACCCTCCCCGGGCGCGGCCTCTCCGCAGCCCGGCCCTCCCGCCCGGCGCCCTCGGCCCGCCCAGCGGCGCCCCGGAGCGAGGGAGCGGCGCGAGGAAGGCCCGGCCCGGTTCGGGCCCGGTTCTCTCCCGGCTCACCGCCCGCCGCAGCGCCGCCGCTCCGCGCAGCAGAGGCGGAGCCGCCTGCAGGACGCGCCGCCCGCCCCACCGCTCCTGGGCGCGCGTGCCGCCGGGAAACGTAGTCCGGGCTCGGCGACTACAGCTCCCGGCGCGCCCCGGGAGCACGGCTGCCTCCTGGCCCGGACTACGACTCCCAGCATGCACTCCGGCGCCCGGGCGCCCGCGCAGCCTCTTCCCGTGGTGCCGCGCGGCCACTACCGCGCGTTCCCCGAGGGCCCGCGGAGTTGCCGGCGCTTCCCGAAGTTTTCCCGGAGCTGCGGGATGGCGGGCGCCGCCCACTGCTCCCTGCAGGCCAAGCGCCTGCTGCTGGACCCCAAGTTCGAGGGATACAAGCTGTCGCTGGAGCCGCTGGCCTGCTACCAGCTGGGGCTGGACGCGGGTGAGGAGCGGGCGCGGCGCGGGGCTGATCCCGCCGGGCATCCCTTGGGCAGCGCCGGGGGGATGGATCCCGCCGCCTTTCCCTTCGTCCCCTCGCGGTGCTGGGTGCCCCGAGCTGGGGACAGCCCGGCCCGCAGCGCCGGGAGTCCCGCGCCTCTCGGACGGCGGGGCTTTCAGGGGTCTCGCTTTTCCCGGTACAATTCCTGCAGGTGGGCAGGGCCGTCCGGCGCCCTCCCCGCCAGGCGCCTTCGCGGTGCACCGAGGTGCCGGACTTGTCACATCTCTGCCTTAGCCCGCTCCTGGTGCGCCTAGGTGCTGAATGAGTAAGGAAGCTGTGTCCTGAATCTGCTCTCGCTTGTGCAGGCAAGGAGAGGCCAAATGACCGGCTGAGGTAGCGGGGTTTGGACGGAGCACATGCGGTTTAGAGAAATACGTATGAAATTAACGTCTTGTACAAACTTCAGCAAATTAGCTGTTTTTCTTTCTTACTCTGCCCAGAGTTCAGAGTTCAATCTTCATGTCATGCATTCCATGCCCTGCTTTCTCTGCCGAGCATCATTAGTGTTTGAGGTGCTGGTCCATTAACACGCTAATTCACTGAGGAGTACATTAGCACAAAGTCCTGTTGGATATGTGCCTACAGTCTTAGCCATGCCCTGAAATATCTCAGCACTCTACGTTTACTGATTTGAGAAATTCAGGTCTTTTTGTAAGGTGGGTGAATTAGTTGTTTTCTTTGTAAAGCTGAGACAGTAAACACAATTTTAATCTGTCTATGTATTTACTGAACAATATACCTGTCTACAGAGTGACCCATTACATGCTACTTTAGTTTTGTGTAGAACATACTCTATTCATGTAGATCAGAAAGGTGTGTTTGCCATGCTGAGTTGTCAGCAGTAGGAAGTTTTTAGACAAATTTTGTATTGATGGTTAAGTGAATGAGAGTGTATCTGTGGTAGGAGTGCAAAATTTAATGAGAGTAACATTTTTACTGTAAGACTGCCTTTGGTGTCACCTTTCAAAAGACAACCCAAGTGCAGGTGAGTGGGTGCATGTTATGGGTGTGCTGCAGTTGTGTCAGAGAGCAGCAGTGTAGCATTGGTGCACTCCCTGAATTTGTCTCTTATTTGCTGTTCTGCCTATGGTCAAGCAAACTTTGTGGTTCTTGGATAGTCAGTTGTGCACCTATTCTAAATAGGTGAGGATTACAGATCTTCATTAAAATACATGAGCAGTATTGCAGAGCAATGGAGAGATGGATCTACTCAGTTCTTGTCCCTTCAGATACTTTACATAATGGCTACAGTAACTGTGTAAGTGTGTAATAGAGGATTGATATGTGTGACTGTGTTCTTGCTCTAAATAGGTGAGGATTACAGATCTTCTTTAAAATACATGAACAGTGGAGCTGCTAATGGAGAGATAGAGCTACTCAGTTCTTGTCCCTTCAGATACTTTACATAATGGCTACAGTAACTGTGTAAGTGTGTAATAGAGGATTGATATGTGTGACTGTGTTCTTTTCTTTCCCCACTTCCCACAGCACAAAGACCCTGACTCATTTCAGTCTAACTTACTCAACTGTGCTACAGAGTCACTTATACTAACTCTTATTTTCTGTTCTGTGCATATGTAGATATAGATACTGGTCCTCTGAAGAGTGGAAAGCTTTTATTGTTGTTCTTGTGTATTTGAATTAATAACAGGAAATGTAGAATTCCTTATATCTGTCCTCCAGATGTTTTGGTTGCAGCCTGATCTTCAGCCATATGGCTGCCTCCTTCTCCTTGCTGGTTTTCTTTTGTGTTCTTCTAGGAAGTTTACTCACAGTGCAGTTCTGTACCTGACTTTTGTATTTCCCGGTGTCAGTGGTCTACACATGTGTTAGATTTAGGGTATCTTTCCAAAATTTGATTTTTGTGTTGTGCAGGAGTGATGGGTTGAGTTGTTGAGCCTGTGGATTGTGTGTAGGCTGTGGCTTTTTCAAATTACTTCATGGGAGAAGAAGCCAGTAGTGTCTGGGAAGGCGAAGAACTTCTGCTTTCCAGCACACTTGCATGCAGATTCAAAGACTCTAGAACATGATGAAGTGCTTGGTAGTTTTTGGGTTATTAAATAAATATTTGTTACTGTGTGAAGAATTTTATTTAATTTCCTCAAAGTGTGTCTGAGTGCAATAGCTGAAAAAAAAGTAAAATGTTTAGGAACACTGTCAGTACAATTATTTCTGATTTTATTCACAACTGTTTGCAAAAATAACATAGTAGAATCTGTATGATTAATGTAAAAAGATGGTTGATTTCTTTGTTTTGCAGAAAAAGATTTAATGAGTGTTTGTCTCAACTGACCTGAGATTTGTAGCTCTGCTTGGGTGGCATCCCAAATTTGGTGGCAGTTAAGAGGAATATGTGAGTTTTAGAGTACTTGGAATACATGACCATAAAAATAAATAAGTGCTTGTTCTTAAGTAGAACTGAGTTTTAACTTAGCTGCAGTGAAGTGTTTATTATATATTTTCATTAATTTCACTGCTAGCTATAAAATAAAATTATCCAAAAAAATGCCCTGTGGAATTGATGCGGTCTTCAGCCCCAGGAGCAGATGGAGAGCAGCATGTGGTGTTGTGTGACAACTTGTGGTGGTTGTCATGTTCCTGAGGACTACAGTGAGTTTCATTTTCTGATCATCATGTAAAACCTAGTGTTCTGTTCTAATATGCCTTCAACTGGTTGACTATGGTTGCCAGGAATTTGCTGTGGTCAGATATGGCTGGCATTTTAGGAAACAATTTATTTATTAGATCTGTGATAGAAGGTGATTTTCTGACAAATTTCTAAAAATGTATGGTCACAGTGAAGAAGAAAGGGGTAAGTATGATACCATCTCTTCTCTTTTAGATACTATGATTTGCATATTCTTCTTTTCTTCCTTATTCCAACCCATTCTGTCCTAATTAATGCTGAACTGTCACAGTCGTTTTTCTCATCTGTCCTACTAGTAATATATTTCAACTAGTAATGAGTCCTATATTATTATGCTTTTAATTCCTAGTTCTTCACTGTAAATTTTGTCTTTCTCCTTACTTTTTTTAGTTTATTTCCATAACTTATTTACAGTGTTTCCCATGCATTGAGTTTTGTACTGCCTTTTTTTGAGATCCCCTAATATTTAGGAGGGACAAATGAGCATCTTGGTTGTGGTTATCTCTTCTGCCCTAATCTGAGCTCAGCAGAGTCCAAAGCAGAGACTGTGGGGCAAATCCTTGTCTCCAGCAAGGAACATGTCCAAGTTGCATAACATTTTCAAGGAATTGAGATCATTGTTGTTTACTGGTTAGATATCTCATAATTTCTTTTCCTTTCCAGAGGCTTGGAATTTATTCAGATGTGGATGTCCCTGATCCCATTCCCCTCTATCTTGTCTGTTTGGCAGGACCATTGTACCTGTAATGTAGTGGATGCTTTTCAGTATAGCTACAGCTGGAAGGCAGAGTAAACATTTGCTCAGAGATGGAGCTGCTGATGCGGGCCAGGAGCATATACAGAGAATGCATTCCTTTGATCACGTGCATTTATCAGTTTTATAAATTTTTTTGAAAAATGGTGGTAATGCATGCTGCTTAGAAGGCCTGCTTCAGAAAGTTGCTCATTAGTAGTGCTACATGGAAAACAAGTTTGTGACTTTTCATGGAGCAAAAGGCACTGGTATGTTTCAAACATTTATAGATATTTTCATTTGCATTTTCCATTTGCATTTGAAAAATTAAATATAAAACACTGTTCAAATTAATGCATGGGAAATAGTAAGAAATTGTGAGCTTTTTCAGACATTTGCAGCTGTAATTCATAGAAGTTTAGGTCTCAGGCACATATTTCCTCAACCACAACGAGATGCTGCCTTTAACAATAAGAACTTGTTTTTTACAATTAAAATAAAAAGCATTAATGCAGGGTTAGAAGGATCTTTGAATGTATATACTAGAAAATAAATTAACTCTTCCTCCAATAGACCAGTGTGTCTGCAATACAAAATTGCTTCCACTGGGTGGCATTGCAAAACAAGGTATGACGTATAAGCATATAATATTTGATGCCACAGAATATACTGATATAATTACTTTGCATATAGTTTTGTAAAGTTGCTTTGGTGTATTCAGGGAAACATCTAAAAATGGAGGGGCTATTTGGGTGTTGTTCCTCACCCTTTTTTTCTCTACATTTCTTTTTTTCCCCCCCCATTTCTGCTTCATAGTGTTTGGTGGCAGATGTAAGACCTCTAAAGTATAAGTTCCTTGACTGAGTGTTCTTTAATCAGAGCAGGGTGGTTTCTTTTTTTTGTGTTTGGTTTTTTTTTTGTTTGTTTGGTTTTTTTTGCATTGCAGACTAGTAATTATAATAATATCTAGCTAGGGATCTTATTGTAACAGTTAGGTTACAGATGTGTTAATTCTGTTGATTCTTATGAATTACTTTATATTTAGTGCTTTTGCTTTTAAGTAAAGCATTATGAGTGCAAATCATTTAATTATGTTTAAACTGTTTTGAGTCAAATTGTTTCTTTTAAAGCATGAA